ATAATAGTCTACCGTTTTTTAAAGGTACTCCAAAGCATCTTCTACGAAACTAAATCCAAGAAAAAGTTTCATTTTGCTCAGCCCAGATGAGCTCAAGGATTTTCCAGAAGCCTTACGACTGCTTTACCATTAGGCCTGGGAACCTTAAAAATACATGAAAACATGGGTTATCGACTAACTGTTGAATCTCGTGGCAACATTTGTTTTTCGAAACAGTTCCAAAAACCTAGTTAAAACGTATATTAGGTGAAATATCCCACTTTTGTCTTTCTTTGAGTAAAATTAAACAATTTATCGCCCAATCAAGTTCCATCCAAATTATATCACAATATCATGATATACTCTATTTTATCTACTCGAACGATTTTTTACTTGATAATAGTAAAAAACATTCTTGTACTTCGGAAGATTTCTAGAAAACCTTTTCAAAAACCAAAGTATTTTCTGTTGATTTATGAGGCTTTTATTGAGTTGCATAATATTGAGCAGGTAAAATAGAGTATATTTTGATATTGTGATATAATTTGGATGGATCTTGATTGGGCGATAAATTTTATTCAAAGAAAGACAAAAATGGGATATTTCACCTAATATACGTTTTAACTAGGTTTTTGGAACTGTTTCGAAAAACAAATGTTGCTACGAGATTCAACAGTTAGTCGATAACCCATGTTTTCATGTATTTTTAAGGTTCCCAGGCCTAATGGTAAAGCAGTCGTAAGGCTTCTGGAAAATCCTTGAGCTCATCTGGGTTGAGCAAAATGAAACTTTTTCTTGGATTTAGTTTCGTAGAAGATGCTTTGGAGTACCTTTAAAAAACGGTAGACTATTATGCCAGTTCCCAGAGATCCGAGGTGGTTTTTCAAAGATCCTCTGGAAATTCGACCTTTAAAAGTCTTTCAAAATCAACTTTTGCTTATGAAAAGTGAGTCACAACTACCTTCTTTTGTTGCGACTAAAACAGTTTGATGCAACATAATGGTAACCGTTGTGTCTTTAGCACTTCTTTGAAGTACACAGTCAAAAGTAATCAAAATGGTAAACGTTTGTTGTGTATATGTAATGTGGCGCTTGGTGACAGCGCACAGTATTATTCATATGCAACCAATTTGATACAACCACCTGAAAATTTTCATAGTGTACATGGTGTTAAAGCAACAATTGATAATCATTCTATATTTAAAGTAATGACCAACTTCTTCTGTTAACGTTGTGTTTCTCACCATTTTTTCTTCTTTTTTTTTCAAAAAAGGATAATGAGTATGCCATTTATAATCTGGATCAACAACGTCTACAATATTTAGTTGTCGTTTCCTGGAAACCACACGATATAATTTCTAGTGTTCCAATAATCCTGACAAGTATAAGAGATCGAATAATAGATCCACAAACATCAGTTGAAAGTATTTAAATTTTTGTTTTTGTATAATTTATTAAAATACTGTTAAAGTAATCACAATACCATTTTAGTGCCAGAATTAATCGAAGATGAAGTTGTTCAAATTGCGGAACAAGATTATGGTCTGATTTCAGCTGGACAACGTCTGCCGTTAAAAGAGTTTCATATAAGAGCACAATTAGTTGATGTTACTGCAGAAGTATTATTTAATATTTAATGTTTGAAAATTTTCCTTTTAAATTTGTAAATAATTATTTTAGGTTGTACTCTATCAGCTGTACCATAATAACAGTTCGCAAGCAATAGAGGCAAAATATGTATTCCCATTAGATGAACATTCAACAGTGTGTGGTTTTGAAGCTCATATTAACAATAAAGTTATTGTTGGAGTTGTAAAAGAAAAAGAACAAGCAAAAAAAGAATATCGCGAAGCTATTGAAAAAGACTATGGAGCTTACTTAATGGATCAGGAACAACCGGTACAATAAAAAAATAATAATTCGAATCACCTAAATAATTGTTTTTCTTTATAGGAGGTTTTCAGTGTTTCTGTTGGTAATTTACCACCAAACTGTGAGGTTGTTATTAAAATTACATACGTCGCAGAATTGACAATTGAAAACGATGATATCGTATTTCGTTTACCGGCAAAAGTAGCATCATGGCAAAGTCAAATGGCTATTAAACATCATAATCAAGTACGTGTTTTATTATGCAGGTTTTATACGCCAGTAGATAAAAAGTGAAAGTGTGAGTAGATCAAGAGAATTCACGTGCATTTTCAACAAAAAGTGAATGTGATCCGATCGTTGTCTTGATATCAAAGCATCTGTAAAATATAAGCATATAAAGTGCGTTAGGAGCACACTGGAATAGCACAACACTCTGGCTCTTTTTGATACACTTAGAATAGCTTGCTTAGTGTGTGTCATCAGCACACCTGTGTTGGCAATACAAAGACTTACAAATGTGCTAATCATCACTAGCAATATCAGACTGATGCAGTAAAGCATTTTAGATCTTGACACTTAGGCTTTTTTAAAAGATCATTCAAATTTCTTGTTGTGTGACGAGATGATACATCTTCGAGGCGGACGTTTTTAAGAACAACTATGATTTTGAAAATCTTGTGCCCTGCATGTTAAAAACTGTCATTTGTTTCATTAAATGTTTTGTTACACACACGTTATTGCTAGAACAGTCAACATTTTATGCACAGAAAATGTTTTTCCCCCTTCATTCGAGGAAGATGAGTTTGTCCGTGATACTACTCATGGCTTGGATGTTACAAATATGAGCCGTGTGTGCAAGAGTAAGCTATCTAGTAACATTCTATCATCTACATCACACTGATTTGTCATAAGAAGTTGCAAAAGAGGCAAGTGTCCATTAGTTAGAGAGTAATTGAACTCAATCTTTTCTTGTGAAAATAAACGCGAGGAAGCGTCCTTCGTGGAATACCCAGTCAATCGAGTTTGCAGTGTGGATATGCATACGATGGTCCAGGGCTGAGCAACTCCAACTCGGGAGTTGAGGATTTTTTTAGTGGAGTTGAAACTGGACTTTAGATTTTAGTAGGTTGGAGTTGGGTTTTTGAATTTTTATTCTCAACTCCGTTTTGCATTTTTGGAAATATTCAATAGCTGTAAACTGATCTTCTAAACAATTGGAGTTAGAGTTGGAGTTGAAAATTTCAAAACGGAGTTGGAGTTGAAGTTGAAAGTCAGCGGACTTGTCCAGCCCTGTGATGGACATTCACGTTCGCTGACATGCTCTAATACGTAAAAACCGTGTAGTTTAACAACGGTACAGACCTCACAACAGATTTTGAAGCTTTGAATTCATAAGAGCTTATGGAGCTTGTGCTATTACATTGAATCCTGACGTCAAGCTCCTGAAGAGTACGTGGTCACAAATTCTTCCTTTTCACACAAGAGGTTCTAGAAAAGATCAGCCTTCATTTTTATTCGATGATTTAATATTTTTCTTAACAGGCCATTAAATACAGAAATAAAAAGTTGTATTTTTGACATAAATTTTTACATCACAACTTCAAAGATTTTTTTACAGCGCAAGTGTGGGAAGAGTAACAGAAGTCCTTTTTGTGATTGTTATAAACCGATCAAAAATCAAGGAAATATCCACAATTTTATAGTTAAATATAGCTTATTCTAATCATGAAAGAAATAGTGTAATAGATCTTTTTGTTTCAGAGACTCTACAAGGTAGTGAGGTTTTCAACAATGTCGAACTTTAGGATTGGTTTTCTTCAAAACTTTTTCGTGAAGAGTATCAACATTCTATTAAAAAAACCTTTAGGTCTAGTTTGCTTGACCATTCAATTTCTAGTTATGGTAGCCATGTCAAAGTATGATGCTGAAATCTTTTTAACTCCATTTGTTATCGTTCGTGGGATGTCGGCACAACATAGTCAAAACGGACGTGTTCGTATTTCCCAAAACATACTGGCGAGCTCATATTGGACTTAAACTGAAGCTAACACATGCGCTTAGAGATTGACAGAGCTATTGCTTTATAAAATTTCTACTATGAATCCCTTTGGATATATGGTTTATGCATCAATAAATGGTAAAAATTTATTGTATTTTCAGATTTGATTTCTAGAAAGTTCCTAGAAAATCAACTTCTGTCATTGAACAGTCAAGGAAATCAGGCCTCAAGGCTTTTGTAATACAAAGTTGATACATCTCAGAAAAAACTTTTTGAAGAAAACAGATCCTAAGGTGTGGCATTTCTGAAAAATTGGCTACCTTCTAGAGTATTTGAGTAAAAAACAAAAGTAACTATTACGCTCCTTCTCTCACATTATTCCATATCTACTGTATAAAGTATTTACATTAGATACAGAGGTCAATAACCCGTCATAACTTTCCACGAACTTATTAGAAGTAATGGACATTTTCACTTTTTTTGCAATCTTCGCTATGGAAGTTTTTGATAGTTACTCTAACAACGTAATGTGACTGTTATAAACTGGCCTCATGTTGTTTTAAATATGATTGTACTTTCCTATTTTAGACATTATTACCATCCATTGGAATAACAGCAACAACAGATTCAAATAAAATACAATTTGGTTTAAAAGCATCAATAAAAATGCCATATGAAATAAAAAAATTATTTTCACCTACACATCGTTTAAAACGAAAAATCACCGATTGTCAAGCAATGATTGAACTAATTGATAATATATTTGATAAAGATTTTATACTAACAATAACATTGACAACTATACATATTCCAAGAATGTTAGTTGAAACATATGTATCAGATTCTGAATCTAGAGCGTGTATGTTAACATTTTATCCAAAATTTGATTTAGAAAATAATCAAGTAACAACAATAATAGAAATTATATATTTAATTGATTTATCTAATTCAATGGATGGTAAAGCACAAAAACAAGCAAAACAATTAGCACACATATTTTTATCAAATATGACACATGAAAATAAAAACAACAATATTTTATTTAATATTGTTACATTTGGTTCAGATTTGGATGAATGTTTTCCAATATCATCCCCACTAACAAAAGAAAATCTCTTTAAAGCAAAGCATTTTGTTTTACATTCATTGGATCATCGTGGTAATACAGATTTATTTTCGGTTTTGCGTAATTATTCACTTTTACCATCATATGGTGGACGGAATTATATACTTCTATCCGATGGTCATCTAAATGATATGAAATCAATTTTGCTATTATTAAAACAACAACAAATGAAACATGATAGATTTTTTACATGTTCCATTAGTGATACAGCCAATAAACATGATTTAAAACAGCTAATAAATGCAGCAGGCGGTGGTTTAGGAACTGTTTTTGATAGTAATTTTCGTTCGAAAGGCGTTCTTCGCTAAGGACCTTTTCATAAAGATAGACGGGGAGTCAGTCAGTACTGATCAGGTTGATGAAAGGCATCAAGCGTTCCTGGATGCCAGACGATTTTTTAATATTTTTTTGTTTTTTAGCATCTTTTTCTGGCTATTATTTATCATTACCACAGTTTTAATATTTGTGTCTTCGAAGAGAACACTTGGCGATGACTATTGATCACGAAATAAGGTAACGGGTGAACCGTAACGAATGGCGGTCTCAGTATTTTGACTATTACTTGTTTGTCTTGTATTTCAGGACCTTAGTCTTTTTTTCAAGCGATAGTCATGTCAATCCTCTGTAAAATGGTGTATTTTTTTTAATCTAAAATTATCTCGTTCGTTATCCAAAGTACGATACAATCTCTTAGCTCAATCTTTCCGATTTTCCAACACGACTTCTTGTCTTATTTGTTTCTCAATACATTACAATTCTTGAATTGATGTTTTACTCCAAATCATAGGCTGAACAAATTCATTTCGAATACGATAGCCCAAAGGGTTCGGGTTCGACTATTAACTATCTTGTGGAAAAGTCTAATCATCACCGAACACCTTATTTGCACATTTTCTTGCTAATGGAAGAATTTCTTTGACGTATCTTTCATGACTAACTGTACCTTTATTCCAAATTACCAATGATATTGATTGTTCAGAACGGTCATCAAATCAAACCATAGCTTTTTTTGAGCATTGACGTTCTTGTTTCAATTTCCGTTTCTTGTTGGTTTATATCATGGTTGTTTCCGTTTTCCTTGAATACGCTTCTTTTACATAATTCTAAAGACTGATCATTCGATCACAGAGTATAGTTTCAACTATCAATTACTACTCAACCGAAATGCAGCGTTAGTACTGAAATGTTATCAGGTGACTCATTTTCACAAGGGGTAGCCTCCCTCCATGCTGTGGTTAGTATCATTAGGATGATGATCATTTCTTGAAATGAAAAGGACGTGAAAGCCAGCATGTACCCTTTACGTTATGCGCGATCCAAGCGAAAGAATTCTAACAAGGGAACACTCCCACCCTAGAGATCAAATCTTATATAAGATTCCTATAGGAATCTTACAGAATATCTGCAAGAATCTTATAAGGCAGTCGATGGAAATGCGTAATTTATGTATAAGAATCTTATATAAGAAACTGATAAG